AGAAACTCTGGAAAAAAAAGCAGTAAAATCAAATTTCTACTCCATTTAATATCATTTAGGTGTATAGGGGAAATGTATTATTATTGATTTATATTAATTATTCTATTATTTACCTTTTAAAACAGTGCTTACACTTATTCATTCATTTATTATTATTTTTCCCTATTTTTATTCTTTTTACCTGGTTTGCATCAACTTTGCTTGGATATCTTCATTTATTGAATACATATATTATAATTATTATATACTTTAACTAAACTAAAATTTGAAAACTTTTGATGCATTTGGAATATGAGAAACTAAAAAAGTCCAATTGTAAACATTTACATTTTTTTAAAAAGCAAAAATGTTGAGATTAAAAATATAATATAACTATGTTTATAAAGTGCTTTTATGTCAAAGAAGACATTAAGAAACATACATGCACCCCTTTCAAATGTTTGGGACCTATAAGATTTAAAAAATGTTTATTCTGTTAACCAGAGCTGCATTTATTTGATTAAAAATGACAGAAAAATAGTGAAATATTATTTCTATTTAAAATAGCTTTTTCTATGTGAATATATTGTTAAATGTAATTTATTGCTGTGATCAAAAACTGAATTTTCAGCATCATTACACCAGTCTTCAGTGTCAGAAATCATTCTAATATGCTGATTTGCTGGTTTACTTATAACGTCTCAGGTTACTTATGTAACCATGGTTCCCGACTATTTATACTATAGTCGCACCGGTAGTGACGTCATGGCTGTCGCCGGCCAACGAGTTGGTGTTTTTTCAATGTATGCTTCAGACACGGGTCACGATGAGGCGTCCCCCATAGCGACCCCTAGAGGACGCAGTTCGAAGTTCCCATGAAAGGGAAACATGTTACATTGTCGAATCATTCGAGATTTCTTTCAGCTGGTGTGTGAAGGCTATTGCAGTGAAATCTGTCGCTGAGCTCTTTTCTATAGATCAGGTTTGTTTGAAGTCAGCTAGTCGTCCATTACTAGCTCTCCTCAAGCTTTGATTTGAGCGTGACTGAACCGAAAGCCTCCATACTGCGAAAGGATCCTCTCCACAATCAGCGGCCGCGGGATGAGCTGCAGGGGCCTTTGTATTGATCAGCGGCTGAAACTGTTTTCTCACTGAAAACAAGGGAAAGAAAAGGGCCAGAAGGACATGTTTTTAAAAAAATGAAAAAATCACAACTGTGAAAACCATCACAGGGTCCAGCGCTTTCACTATACGGCTCTCTGATATGAAAATGAGAAGCTATTTTTCTAAAGTATGGCTTCAGAATGATAGATTAGAGGGAAGATGATCGCAGCAATCGAGTTCAGGTGTCTGCTCAAAGTTCCCGTGTTTTATACATTGGACCAACACACTATATAGAGCTTTATTTTAAAATATTACTTTTTATTTCATTTTTGTTTTATACGTTTTAAATATTAATATATTATATTTTTGCGTTGTTTGCATTTTTTTTTTTTTACTATTGTTATTATAGTTTTTTTTTAATATGC